AAGGAAATTTTTTCAGGAAAAGGAGACTATGTTTTATTAATTATTTCAGAGAGTTAGTTCCAAAATGCTAGAAAATAAAATTGCACACAGCTGCTTGGTTTCCTATCCAGGACTCCTAATTGAGAAGACATGAACATCTTCCAGTGTCCAGAGAGCCCTGCTCAGTTTTCTGTTGCTGAGGTGAAGTCAGAGTGGTTACAGGTTTCTCTGCATTCTTCTTACATTTTACCAGATTCCAAACATTGTGTACTTAATCAAAGAGGAGAGTTGAAATACTTTTACTCTCACCAGACCAACGGATTTTTTTCAACCAGAATTATATACGTTGTAGAAAGAGCACTGGATGGAGTTAAGGAGACTCGGGTTTGGGCTCTAGCTTTGCCATTAAATGAGTTTGAGGAAGTTGGTTAATCTCTCTGAGTCTCATTTGTAAAATGGGTGGAGTTGTGTAACTGGTAAGATTTCTTTGCAGTTCTTATTTATCTATCATGATTGTTTCAAGTTCTTCAACCAAAAGTATACCAATTTGCTAGTCTTTAGAGAAACACTAGTTCAGTTCAGTTCAGTTCAGTTCAGTCGCTCAGTCGGGTCCGACTCTTTGCGACCCCATGAATCACAGCACACCAGGCCTCCCTGTCCATCACCAGCTTCCGGAGTATATTCAAACTCATGCCCATCGAGTCGGTGATGCCATCCAGCCATCTCATCCTCTGTCGTCCCCTTCTCCTCCTGCCCCCAAGCCCCCCCAGCATCAGGGTCTTTTCCAATAAGTCCACTCTTCTCATGAGGTGGCCAAAGTACTGGAGGTTCAGCTTCAGCATCAGTCCCTCCAATGAAACACTAGGAACTTAGCTAAATAGTGATAATTTCACGTGTAATAATTTCACTTTCACAGCAAAGTGTCCTCTACATTTTTATTCCAAATTCAGTATTGATTTATGAATCAATGGGTGTTGATTAATACGTCACTACTTTCCAGTTTTAGATATGCTCATATAGCAATGCTTCCATATCTAAACTTTAGTCTCTTGAAGGGTTTGCTGCTGTTGTTCAATCACTTAGTCATGTCCAACTCTGCAATCCCACGGACTGCAGCAAGCCAGCCCTCTCTGTCCCTCACCATCTCCAAAACTTGTCCAAGTTCATGTCCGTTGTTTTGGTGATGCCATCCAGTCATCCCATCCTCTGACACCCTCTTCTCTTTTTGCCCTCAATCTTTCCCAGCATCAGGGACTTTTCCGATGAGTCAATTGTTCACATCAGATGACCAAAATACTGGAGTCTCAGCTTTGGCATCAATCTTTCCAACGAGTATTCAGGGTTGATTTCCCTTATGATTGACCGATTTAATCTCCTTGCTGTCCAAGGGACTCTCAAGAGTCTTCTCCAGCCCCACAATTCAAAGGCATCAATTCTTAAGCAGTCAGCCTTCTTTATGGTCCAGCTCTCATGTGACCACTGGAGAAGACCATTGCTTGACTATGTGGACCTTTGTCGGCAGAATAATGTCTCTGCTTTTCAACATTGTTTAGATTTGTCATAACTTTCCTGCCAAGAAGCAAATGTCTTCTGATTTCATGGCTGCAGTCACCATCTGCAGTGATTTTAGAGCCCAAGAAGAGGTTTAAACTCTCCATCTCTTTAGTCAATTAACTACACTGTCTTCCTTAGGGTGATGTGCTGGGTGGTCTCTTGTCAACTCAGTATCATTCTCAAGCCCCCTGAAAGGCAGGACTACATTTCCCAGAATCTCTGGAAACTGTCCACGAGAGGCACTAATTTAATATTTAGAAGGCAGAAGAAGATATCTTTTTTTTTTCCCCCCAGTCAGTTACAGAAAGACTTATGGGCAGGTGGAGGTTCAAAGCTGCTTAAACTTCTTGAGGAATCCCAGCATCTCCTTTGCCGACTGAGATAACTGGTGCAGGTGGACTCATGATGAAGCCAATGAAGTTTAAACTTCAGGGCTCTTTTCTTGCATAGGCTCTTTCTAAGACTCTGGAAGTGGCTAGCAATTTTGTGTTCATACTTTTGTTTATTTATTCTCAGAGATAGCTCTCTAAATCATGTAAACTTTAAGTCTCATGAAACCTGGCTCTAGCCCAGAGAGGTTGGGGGCCTCCCAGAGAGCCTGTGACTCCGGTGATCTCAGGAAACCTTTCGAGAAGCGCCACATTGGTGGGGCTGGAGTCTGAGATCCGCCACAGAAGCTTCCGACTTTCTCTCCCACAGCCCTTCCAGCAGTTGTGAACGTGCTAACTCCCTTCATACTGGAACAGAGTGCCTTTTGTCTTAATGACCAAACCAGTCATAGCTTAAAAATGATTGCTGTCACACAATCAGATTATGATTCTTTTTCATTGTTTCACTTAATCTCAAATTTCAGACATGATGTTTTCTTTCAGTGTAAATGACAGTGGAAAAAAAATTATTTCACATAAAAAAAAAAACACAGTGTAAGCTTCATATTGATCCACATCAGATACTCATAATGTAGCAATTTGACACATAGTGTGTAGTTCAGTAAGTATGTGCTAATGAGCGAGCGCATGAGTCAATGAAGAAATGGAAGACTCCGTGTGCGTCTACATCAAAGTTGTTCTCTTGTTATGATTATTAAAACAACACAAATCATGTTTGCTCTAATTAATTCTCTCTAGATTTATTTAGCACAGTACCAAGAACTCCCAGCTGCTCACTGCTGTTTTTGGATGAAAATGATGAGTAGTTTGGGGAACCATTCCAGCACAAAATTCTAGGAAATCCCAGGATGCATCTGTAATTAATTTTAGGGTCTTCCAGAGGTTGGAGACCACACCTGTTAGTTATGAATTATTTTCCAAGGGTAGATATATATATATATTATATATATATATATTATATATATATAATATTTTAAGGATTTGGCTATTAGATTAGCCAAATTAGATTTGGCTATTAGATCATTTCCCCCCCTTGCAATCCAGTTCTGCATAGCAATGATAATCATCTTGTTAGATAAGAAAGTCAATGACTAGTCCTCACCAGAATAAAATCACACATATTATTTAATTGTAATTAAGGCTCACTCTTTAAAATTAAGAAATAATTTAATCACACTTAGAATTGGACCAGCAATTTTTTTAAACACACCTGCATATAGAAAACATCACTGTATGGTCCATATTGTAGTCCAACTAAAATATGAATCTAGCATTTACATCTTTATAATTTTAAAAATACAGGTGAGTTACATTGAAAAGTCAAATATTCCATATTTTGCTTTTTTCCCTGTCAAGTTTAACTTTTACGTTTTTTCATGGATAGAGTAAGAAAGTAAAAAGGAGGATAGTTTTCTAATTATTGACAATGAATGTGCTGATAAATAACTGAGTTTGGAAAGTGTGGTCTTTTGTTTTCATTTAGTAAACATTTCCTGTGTTCTACTTCGATGCTAGGTACTCTGCTAACCAGTGGAAATTGCAGTAAGGAATTATACTTGGTTGCCACCCTCCTTATGTAGCCACAAGATACACAATTCCCAGGGGAGGGGGGAAGGCAAATGGTTTAGGAGAATGGAGAACAAAAGGAGATTTTGTTGGACCAGACACTGGAGTTACATACGATAATCTCATCTACTTTCCAGGGTACCTTGGAGAAACCCTCATAAAGGAGGAAATTGACTCTGGGACATTGAATATCTAGTCCAAGTTGACTCCATTAATTAAGAGCAGCACTCGAGTGCATACCTAGCGCTGTCTGGACCGTGGAAGCGAAGAACACCTAACACCCCTGTATTCCCATGGTTCTTGAGTACAGGCCCTTTAGCCTGTGTTTCGCATAATCCAGTTCCATTCTCTTAAAACCAGGTGGACTCCTTAAACTGAAAATATCGTTTATTGGGTAATCTGCTTCTCTGTGGCCCTCCTCTTAGCCCTCGAAGCTAAGAGGCTCAACTGCTTAAGTTTTCACCAGCTGGCAGAGGCAATTCGAGCAGAAAGTGGGGTGTGGATTTATTCTTCTCCCTCAAGTTTAGTATTATTCTATGCATATTAACAGCTCGCTGTTTGTTGTCCTGTGTGTGCTTACTCTCTCAGTCGTGTCCGACTCTGCGACCAGGCTCCTCTGTCCGTGGGGATTCTCCAGGCAAGAATACTGGAGTGGGTTACTATGCTCTCCTCCAGGGGATCTTCCCAACCCAGGGAAAGAACCCAGGTCTCCCGCACTGCAGGCGGATTCTTTACCGTCTGAGCCACCAGGTAAGCCATTACATTGCTGTAAACTGACGTTTACATGAATTCACCAAGGGCTGGACTTCAATATCCTCACCTGAGGCTCGGAGACAAGTCATCCATAACTTTTCTTTCAGGAGGAAGTAGCCAAATAGCCTGAAGACGGTATTATTCCAGTTCTTCATTGCTGTATCTGAAACAGCTTATGGTGCTTCAGAAATGTTGAACGGTTTCACTAGAAAGGACTTAAAAGCGTACATCTGGGGAGAGAGAAGCGCCGCGTCTCCTGGATGCCCCAGTGTGCCCCTCCTGGAAGACGTGGCGAGGCAGGGGAGTCCTGCGGCCCCTGCTCCAACCTAGCAGGGCGGCCGCGCGCGCTGCGCGGAAAACTCTGGAGCAGCCAGCCAAGACCCGGCGCACCCTTGCTTTCCTTCCCTGCGCCCCATCCCGGCCCGAGCGGCGAGGGGGTGGGAAAAAGGGCAGCGGGCGCCTTTAAATGCTAATGAAGTCGATGCCCCAACTCCGGAGCCAACCCTCCCCACCCTTTCCCCTCCCCGGGCCCGCGCGCCGCCTAGAAGAACTCGTGCGGGGCCATTTTTGGGGCAGTAAGACCGAGCGCGGAGCCCCGGAGCGAGCGCGCAGCCCGAGAGCGCGAGCCGCCTCCGCCGCGAGACCCCCCCACCCAGCCCGGCCTCCGGGAGAGCGAGCCCCCGGCCGCCGCGCCCTCCAGCCGCGCCAACCGCCGACCAACCGCCACCGAGGTGCCCGAGGGAAAGCGGAGGAGGCGGCATGAGCGAGGCGGGCGAGGCCACCAGCACCACCAGCACCGCCGCCGCCGCTCCCAGCAGCAGCGCCCCCATCACCACCGCCGCCGCCCTCCCGCAGGCTCCGGCGGAGGCGGCCCCTCAGGACCCTGCGCCTAAGAGCGCGGCGGGTGGCGGCGCGCCCCCGGCCCCTGCCCGGGCCGCCCTGGTCGCGGGCAACCCCGGTGGGGACGCGGCCCCGGGCACCGCGGCCCCAGCCTCTTCGGCCGCCGTGGGCAGCGAGGACGCGGAGAAGAAAGTTCTCGGTGAGTCAGGCGGGGAGGATGAGGGGGCCGCTCCGGGCTGGGGCCGGGGCCGCCGAGCACGTGTGGGCAACTCCAGCCGCCTGTCTGGACGGGACGGAGCGGGGCGGGATCGCGGACGGCACGGGGTCCCCGCGGATATTGGGGTCTCCCGGGACGTGGGGTTCCCCCCCCCGGGGCCGGCGGCCGCCCATCCCGCAGGCGCTGCCGGACTAGGGCGCGGCGCTGCCGGCCGCCCGAGCGCCCCTGGGCTCGCAAGTTGGGGGTCTTAACTGGGGGTCCCCTAGGAGGGCGCTGTCGCGCAGTCCCGTGGCGAAGCATCCCTGGGTGCGGAGGGGAAAGAAGCGGCAGTCGGAAGAGACGATCCAGGGTGGGATGGAAGTGGATGTAGGAATGGGACCCACGTGGCACGGGAACTTTGGAGTCCTCGCTTAGGATCTGGGCGAGGAGAGCGTTTCCTTGGAGGGAAGAGGAAGGCGCCCGGAGTAGACAGGGCAGGGGTGGGGGAGTTGGTGGCGGTGGAAAGGCTTCTTGCTCGGAAGGCTCAGGTGTCCGTCCCAGACGCCCTTCTCACGGGGGCGCGGGAACTAGGCCAGGCTTCTGTCGGCCACATGCTGGCCGAGGGGTGTTGCAATCCCTCTCCGGGAAAACTTGGGTCTCGGTCCCGCGTCCTCCTCCCTCGCCCTGCCCGCTGCTGCAAGAAACACTTGGTGTTTACCAATCACTCTCGTCTTCCCGGATTGTGGGAAAGCGCTTGGTGCAGCAGCTGAAAAAACTTGGTCGGAAGTGAGGGGATGACGTTAGTTCGCAGCCTCGGGTATCTTGGGGACTTGTAACTTAGGAAGGGGAATCGGAAGAGGAGATGTTCAGGTCCCGGGGGCAGAACGTTACAAAGGATGTCTGTAGTCATTGTTGGTTTTGTCACGTATCCCAGCGTCCTCTCATTCAATAACGTTAACGCCCTGTGTGAGGCCTAAGCAGTGGGTGGGGAATAAGGTCTCTAAAGGGTGTGTGGTGTATGTATCTCATTCCCGCGCCGCCCCCCCCCCCCCGCCTTTTTTTTAAAACCAGGGAAGGTTAAGAAATGGTGTAAGATGCTTCTGAGAAATTTTCAGTATTTTGCATGGGGCATGCTTGGTGTCTGTGAGCCTTGCCTGCCCAATTTTCTAGGAAGAAAATTTTATAGGCAGAAACTTGGAGGAATCATATGAAGAAAGTTTAATACGATCAACATTTTCCCTGCCTTGAGAGGCCTGTGTTCATTTTTTTTTTTAAAGGGTTAGATTTTACTCAGTTACTGTCAAACGAGGTGCTAAATGTAACATGTGCAGGTTAAGAAATAAAATAGCCATCATTTCTCTAGGCTCAAAGTTGCTCCAGTCTAGTTCAGGTTGTATTGTGATATTGTTTTCAACAAGTGTTTCTTGGAACACTTCCCATGCCAAATGTCAACAGAGACAACCTTGGTTTATCCGAAGCAGTGTTAGGATATGTTCTTAAATTTGATTTATTTTCGTATAAAGGAAATTTCTCAGTTTTTCTCTGGATCCCTGTATCTTTCTTGAATCTAAACTGAACTTTAAACTGCAGTAGATATCTTTAAAGATGAAGGAATTAGATAAATTAATTTACTCAGCCACCAACTGCTCTGACAGTCCCAGCACATCCCCGGTGGTGAGGTTGTAGGTCTTGGGTCTTTTCACCGTCACTCCCAAATCTCAACAACAAGGGCAGCCTTCTGCCTGACATTTCAACACTGTCTCTGTCCAGTATGTTCTGCCATCTCTTGTCCTTAGCCAAGCGGACACATGGTACTTACAATGTGCCAGGTGCAGTGCTGACTGAAATGGAATTCTGGTTTGGGATTCTTGCACTCTAGTTCTTAGAAATGTTCTAAACTTTGGTGTATAGCCACAGGCCAGGGGAAGCAGTTGCCATGACTGAAGGAAAACTTCCCTCTTAATGAACCTCATGGAAGCTTGTTGGTCTTCCTCCTTTCCCCATCCAGCTCTGTGTATGTGAAGTGAGTTTATGGGCTTAAACCAAGAAGAGAGGATGACTGTGTTTGGCCTTGTGAGGTCACTGGAAATATTTGTGAAATTAGGAAAGTTTTAAAAACTAAAGTGGGAATAAAAATAACCTTCCACCTGGATTGAAGTTATCCTTGGAAATCACTTTCATCTTTCTCCTTATTAGTGTTGCTTTTCTAATCACGATTATGCCTTTGACAGTGCCAGTAGATGTTAATTATATGAAAATGAATAAAAAAGAGTTCCTACCTTTATATTTTGCTTATGTTTTTCTAGTTCATTAATTTTGGGGCAAATGAGACAAACAGCATATCATTTGAAATAATGTGAGATTTAAAAGTATATGATTGATCAAAACCAGTCTTCTGTGTACATTTAGATCTAAAATATATATATTTTTCCCTCTTTGCCCTGTTGCTCTAATTAAAATGCCCTAGAACCGAAGGTATTAATAGTTTAGTCTTTATTGGAGAGAGACCTTCTTTAGTTGGCATAAGAACTGGAGATTGCTCAGTGGATGGTGGGCCGAATGACTTTGAAGGCAGAAAGAGTTTTTCGTTTGTGTTTTCTTTTTACAAAGAGAGCTAAACTAATTCCCCAAGCATATTCATGTAGCAAAACTCAGAACTAACCCTGCCCATAGCAAAGTAAGCCCTAATTACTGTTTTCCTCTTGAATTTAAAAGCTGAATCTTTATTATTTTTCCTTGGAAATTAAAAATGTTGTATCTTGTGGTTAATTGTTATTTTCTCTCCTAAGCTTTTTTCTTTATTAAAGATACTCTATTGCCACATTTCCTGTCTCACTGAATTTTGATAATTGCTTTATGCTTTTCCTGAATTTAGATCTGGGCATTTCATAGAGGTGCTGGATTTGGTATTCACAGTTGATTCAGAGGAGTAAGCTAAAATCATAAATGCCTAAAATAAACATAAATCTGTGACGTACAGGTTCCATGACCATACTATTGGTTTAGATTTCTTCTCGAGTTCTGTTAAGACCTTACATTGTACAGAAATGGTCCTGTTACATGGGCAAGTAGAGTCAGCAATCACATTGGGAGGGTTATAAGAAAATGCTAATAAGAATTTGGTTTATAGGAAAAACCAAAATCAGTTTGGTTTGATTCCCACCAAATGGAGAGAGCAGGATAAACAATGAAACAGAATCCCAAATTCATCACAGGTTTGAAAAGGCCTGTTGCATCATGTCTCAGGGTGGTAAGAACAGAACTGGCCTGAGCCCGCCTCACTTCTATTATTACTCTGGACTCCTCTGATGGGCCCCCGTCTGGCATCAAGACAAGTTTCTTCAGGTCTCTGTAGATTAGCTATTAACAAGGAGCTACTCTTTCACTATGTGGAGTTTGCCGACTGTTTCAAAGTGTGAAAGTGATGTGTCAGGTCGTCGGGGCTCACCTTGCTAATGTGTCTATAGTCACTTTCGTCGAGAGCTGCGTTCAGCACTTAGAACATTTTTCTGCTGTAAAACTTTAAAGAGTATGTTTTCATTTTTTTCCCTTCAGCAGTGTTTCTCAATTTTAATCACTGCAGAATCATATAGACTTATGACAACACCTTATCTCAGGGCTTCACTGAAACATTTCCCAAGGAAGAAAGGTTTAGTCTTCTGAAGAGTAGTTCCCTGTGACAACTTCACTTCCTCCATTTTCTTCTCTCGGTAAACTCTGGAGTTAAGCTTTTAATGGTTTCCTCAGGTATATTTAGGCTTTAAATAATGCTATCAAGACCTTAGTGGTATGAGCTTTATCTCTTTGTAGGTCAGATACTAATTTATCTGCTTAATCCTATTTTAGCCACCAAAGTCCTTGGCACTGTCAAATGGTTCAACGTCAGAAATGGATATGGATTTATAAATCGGTATGTGTGTGTGTATCTCTGCATGTCTGATTTGAATATGTCCTCTTCCTGTGGCGCCTGCTGTTGGTGTCTTTTCCCATACTTTATTAATGATTTGTGTAAGTTTTCAGATTTTTGAGCCGTGTAAATACTCTCATTTCTAAGCTACTGATCATTAAACATTAATTGGAATGCATTTCTAAAACACGGATAACTAACTTATTTTATATAATCTGGTCATTAAAGGAAAAAAACAGTGGTGGTGGGGACAATAGAGACAGGGGAAGGGCCTTAAGATAATTGAGTGGGTATCCACAATTTCACAGATGGAGCAGTGGAATCCTAGACTGGTTAAGCAACTTTCCTCAGGTCACACAACTAGTGAGTAATTGAGCTGGATCTGTAACCCAGGTCTGGTCCAAGTCCTGTGGAGAAACCACAGTGTTTTCTTTAAACCATGGTAACTTCTAACCATATAGGAATGAGAACACAGCTGCAAGTGGTGAGAGTGTTCTGATGTTTTTATATAATACCATCATTTTCTCTAGCCCTCCTAGCTAGGACCCCGCCTTCTTAAAAAAAAAATTCCTCTAATTTCTTCCTTGTATGTTTTGGTGGGCAGTGGGGGTGGGGTGGGGGTTTAGGGTCGGGTGGTGGCGGAGAGGGGGTTGTTTTAGGTTTCAGTGTAAGGAGAGCCTAGTTCACAGCTGTGCCCTGTCCTTTTAACTGTCTTGCTTTGCTTTTTGCTGGGAGGGAAACCTCGGGCTCTGGTTACACACCATGTGATTTAGAGAGAGGTGAGAGGAAACGGGTGTTTCAGTAGGTTGACTGTGTGTGCATGAAGCCAGGCACCACTGTCGTGGAGGAGTAAGGTGGGTCCCTTTGGGGTTCAGAAGTTTTTAAGGAGGATTGACTTAAGGCATCTGAGTTTAGAGGACAGACAGACATCTATGTTGTGTTTTGAAGTCCTAGGCTCTAGACTGTTGTTTTAAGTTTTCCCACTTACCTAGTCCCTTTAACTGTGAGCTTTTTGTCTTCCAACAGAAATGACACCAAAGAAGATGTATTTGTACATCAGGTAAGAGGGATGATAACTGTGACCTTTGCTCTCTGAGGAGAGGGGCATCTGTAATGTGCTGTTATTATCTCTTTCCCAAAGTGAAGCCCTGCACGTTGCTATTCTGCTCGAAACTCCTTCTGGGGTTTTATTTTGGCAAGAGGGCCCAGTTCCACATTTTTAGATTAGCACTTAAGCTCTTCTCTTCCATCACATTAACTGTTTTCAGACGGTTTTTATTTTTTGAGCTTAATGAAGTAATAATCAGACCACGTGCTAATTTTTAAAGCCTTCGAGTCTTTAGCTAAAGCACTTCTATTTCCATGTTAGCAGCCTGTGCGCCTGACTGTGTTTCCTCCTTGTGTTTGGCTGGGCCCCACCTTACCTTCGCCCGGGTGGGTGCTGGTTAAACCCCCCTTCGTCAGAGCAACTTGAACTTGGGTAAATAGCACAGCGAAGCAGATGGCTGGAATGCGTGTATCTAAGACATGGGAGCTTTCCAGGAGGCTCAGGGGTAAAGAATCCACCTGCCAATGCAGGAGACTCGGGTTCAATCCCTGGGTGGGGAAGACCCCTTGGAGAAGGAAATGGCAACCCACTTCAGTATTCTTGCCTGGGAAATCCCATGAGCAGAGGAGCCTGGTGGGCTACGGTCCGTGGGGTACAGAAGAGTTGGACATGACTTAGCAACTGAACACAAGCAAGATCCAAGATATAAGGGGACTCCAACTCCCAGGCCAGTCCCCTCCTCTGTCCTGCTTAGCACATGTCCAGATCAAATAGGCCTGTAGTCCCCCTGTATTCAAAGGAGATGTAGAAAAAGTGTAAAATACGGAAAACATGGACTTCTGTGTACAGGAAGCTCAGTCTTTTTCTACATTATTGACCTAGGATGTTATTCTGTATCCTGGACTTGCTTGGCAAAAGAGGTTAAAAGCATTACGTGCATTTAGTTTTCTTTTTGTATGGTTAGTTTTCAGTGAATTGTCTCACATATGTGTGGTTCTCAGTGAATAACAGCGAAGAAGTACAGAGACAGGTCCCAAAACCAGCACAGTCACCTCCAGGGCTCTGTCGAGCATCTGGTTTTCTGTGTTTTAATGCTACTTAAGATCCTCTGCATCATGGGGTAGAGTTCGGTGCCTGGAGAGAGTGCTATCTCAGGAGAAGCTCTCCCCTTGTGGTTTCTATCAGTTATATTCCAGTTGTGCCTGGGTCACTGGAGTGGATTACTTTGTTCAGACACAGTGACTTTTAAAGTCACAACAGACCAAAAGGGAGTGTTGCTTATAACACCTAGAGGGTAATAGAGTTTTTTGGGGAAGCACTCTGCCTTCTGGTGACTGCTGGCATAAAGGGACCTCAGAAGGGTCTGAGCCCTTCTGGTCTGGCCCCAGAAGGGTCACAGCCTCGCTGGCCTGTGAGTGTGTGACCTGATTCCAGCCCCCTGTGAGGCTGGGCGGTGAGTCACCTCGGTGTGCTGAGGCTTGCCCAGTTTAACAGGAAAAAGGGAACCAGCCGGTAGGGAGGGGCTGTTTTTGGACTGGCTGAACATTCAGGCGGCCTGCGCGTACATCCTCTCCTGAGCTGCCTTTTTCCTCTGTGGGTGAGGTCTCGGCCTTACTGGCTCATTCTTTTTTTTTTCCCTCCCTCCTACTCAGAGTAAGGGAAGGGCTAGATTACACATGCCTAATCGCTTTATAAAATAAGGCTGACCTAGTTCCACAGAAACCCAGAGCCCCTTTAACTGTTTAGAGATACCAGCCGACGAAATGGGAATTCATTGCAGGAATTATTTTCTTCCCTCCATTGATTGAAAAAGAGAAGCCTGTTCATAAGCAGGTATTTAGGTACCCATGTTCACTGCAAAATAACGTCATTAACCTTTCAGTGTTATTTATCAGGGAGCGCATAGGGATGAGCTGACATGTGAATGATGTGATGAGAAAAATTTGAATAAATATCACATAGTTACAGTATAGGGTATACACTCCCCCACCCACCAGCCTCCTTCCCCCAGGCTGTATTTTTATAAACTCAGATAAATCACTTATCAGCCTCCAGTTGATTTCCTCATCTATAAAATGGGAGAGGAGAAGGTTTTCAGCAGTGTTTTGTTCTTGAGGTATTTTCATATATTGTCAGAAATATTTATCCTCCCTTAGATTTTTAAAATTTCTTTTGAGGTTAGCAGTTTCTCTTGTCCACTGAAGTCTCTGTCCCCATATTTCTGTGTTTATGTGCATGTGTAAAATTTTATGGAGGTATCCCCCATCCCACAGCCCCCACAATGATGGAAAATAGAGTCTGATCCAGGACACTTCATAGTGTGAGGAAACACATCTATCCAGTATCTATCCAGCACCTATCCAGTATCACGATTAGTTCATCAGTATAACTGCACTTTCTATTTGACCCACCTACCAAGATGAATTTTGAAGGATAACATGAAATCAAGAAAGTAATGTGGAACATAGTTGTATAGTGTTTTTTTTGTTTTGCTGTTGTTGTTTTGAAGATGCAGGTTAGTTGGGAGAACAGATCAGGGCTTCCCTGCTGGCTTAGTGGTAAAGAACCCGCCTGCTCATGCAGGAGACACAGGTTCCATCCCTGGGTCAGGAAGATGCCTAGAGGAAGAAATCGCTACCCACTCCAGTATTTTTTCCTGGGAAACACCATGGACAGAGGAGTGTTGTGCGCTGCAGTTCATGAGACCACAAAGAGTCTGACACGACTTAGCGACTAAACAACAACGTTAGATCAACAATTTCTTCAGTAGAGCCAATAATCTTGAAAGGGATGAACTCTGTGGCCAACTTTGACCTATGCTTCATTCAGAATTTTTTTTAATCTTGACAGACTGCCATCAAGAAAAATAACCCACGGAAATACCTGCGCAGTGTAGGAGATGGAGAAACCGTAGAGTTTGATGTGGTTGAAGGAGAGAAGGTGAGAGGAGATTGTGGTTGGGTATCTAGGGTGCTGGCATTATTTTCTCTCTTAGTAAATGGTCTCTCAGTCCTTTATGAGTTAACAGGACTTTGGATTTTTACTATGACAGAAAGAAGTGACTCTTTAAGTAAAAGTATTTCTGATCATTGACTGTCATAGGCATTGTTTGACGCAGTATTAATGGATATTTTAATTTCTATTTTAATAAATGATGAACCCTATTTAATCATGGAAGGAAAAGCTAATTTCTGAAGATTTAAAATAACAAATCTTATTTTGGTACCAAGTGTATTCTCAAGTGAAATTTAAAATTAAAACAGAGCTTTCCTGGTGGCTTGGTGCTAAAAGAATCCACCTGCCAGTGCAGCAGACATGGGTTCGATCCCTGATCTGGGCAGATCCCAAGTGCTCAGAGAAACTGAACCTGTGCACCATGGCTATTGGGCCTGTGCTCTAGAGCCCTGGAGCCGAAACTGCTGAAGCCTGCACACCCTCCTGGAGCCCATGTCCTGCAGCAAGAGAAGCCATGGCAACGAGAAGCCCATGCACAACTAGAGCTTAGCTGCTGCTTGCTGCAACTAGAGAAAGCTCATGTGCAGTGATGAGGACCCAAGGCAGCCAAAAATAAATACATAAATAAAGTTTTAAAAATTAAGATAGTTTTATAGTAGTAAAAATTGATAAAAGCTGTTTTGGGGTGAAAGATACCTTTTTTTTTTTTTAAGAATAAAATCAAATATAATCATTATGTTTTCTCTTTGGCTTGGGTTTTGAAAAGCCAGAGGCATCTTGACAGACTGTATAACCGCTATCTTCAGATGAAGAATAACCCAGGAAACTAAAAGGATCATTTTGATGTGCATCGACAGGTTTTTTATGCTGTGATATGTTTAATTCTAATATTACTAATGTCTTTTATGCTTTATTTTTTAATTATAAGCTGACTAGTTCACTCCCAGATGATTGTTCTTCTGATATACACACCATTCATTCCATAATTCCTATTCTTAGCAGCTCTCAAACTGCTTCCTGTTTTAAAAGAGAAACACTTTATTCCATCTCCTATAAAAATTTAAGTGATCTTTACCAATGTGATCCCAGGGTATCTTGCAGATCTTTCAGAGTTCCAAGTTATCTACCAGCAAATGCTGACCTGTAACGATCCCTAATGTCCCATCCAACTATTAAAATTTGTTTAGCCAGGTTAATTTTACCTCTGTGTATTTTCAGTATGTGAGGTTATACAAATGGACTTAGAGTGGAGTTTCACTCTTTTGAATCTCCTATGCCCGAACTTTTTATATTTTTGAAGAGTTACTTTATCCGCTTGTCCATAGAGAATCTGAAGGCTCTGTCTGTTTCAACAATAAGACGATTTAAAGAGGGACTACTTTTGTGGACACTGTGTGTGAAAGCAGGCACTGAGTCAATGGCCCTTCATTCCTGCCCCTGCCACAGTGGGAAGAATTTCCCTCTCACTAGCTCAGTGCTGGGCAGACCACGTGAGCCCATGAGTGGATTGTCTTGGTACCTCACAGAGTAACAGGTTTCAGTATTTTCCAGGAAGAGAACATTATCTCAGTTATTTCCAGTGAAGAGTATTCTTCCTGGTCTAGCATTCCTTTGCTCCAGTTGCTTTATATTTACCAGTTTTATGTTTCTTAAAGATAAATATATATACTTACTGCTCTTGAATCAAGAGAGTAAAGCTTGTGGAAGCAAGCAAGCTGTATATACATATATTATTTTTTAAACTTTTTATTTTACATTGCAGCATAGCTGATAAACAGTGTTGTGTCAGTGTCAGGTGTCATGCTGTATACATTTAAATCAGGACATCAAGCATCCTGCTCACCTTTATTAAAACGAGGGTGTGTTTTTGAGGTCACCGGAGGAACTTCTAGTACCTCCTGCCAGTCTTAAAGCCTCTGGCTGTCTAAGGCTGTGCTTTTGGTTATTGGCTTCTTTCTGACTCGAAGGCCATCTTTGCTTTCTTCCTTTCTCAGGGTGCAGAAGCAGCCAATGTGACCGGCCCGGATGGCGTTCCAGTGGAAGGGAGCCGATATGCTGCTGACCGGCGTCGCTACAGACGTGGCTACTACGGCAGGCGCCGTGGACCGCCCCGCAGTGTACGTTGTCTCTTTCATCATCAGTGACCCAAGAAATGTGCACATCTAAAATTAAGTGTGTATACTTGGGGCACATAAATGGCTGTATCTTCTGGAAACAGTGATTTTTTTGGATGGGAAATTTTTCGTGTTCAGAATTTATCCCCACTGGTCTTACGGGACATTTTTGCCATTCAGCAGTTTTATCAGTTTGTTTGCATTTGGCTGCAAGTAACAGCCATTTAATTATCTTGTAACAAGAAGGCTTAATTATGATGGGCCATGCCAAAGTTGTCAAAAAAGTTTTCTCTTCTTTTGGCTCCTTTATCGGCCAGAACCGAACTGGGTGGGGTAGGGGGAAGGGGCCAGGGACTTCTGTAATTGGCTTACATCTGTTGTTCATCCCTTGGCGCTGACCCTGTTCCTTTCTAAGAAAGTCAGCCTTTCCTTGGCAAGGAAGAATGAGGAACAGCTCTGGAGTAAGTGATGGACAGTGCTGGCCACAGAAATATTAAGTGATTTGCCTCAATTATGTAGCTGTTTTATTTAGCATAGCATTTCCCATTATTTCAAAGTTAAGCAATAATAAACTCTCTGGATTTTTAGTCCTGTAGATTGGTACCAATCTAAGTGAAAGGGTTTACAGCCAAGTCTGGCTGGACTTTTCTTAGGAGGCTCAGTTTAAAATATTCTCGAGGCATCCAACTTGTGGTCATGAGGAACCTCTTAGATATGAGTCATTTTTCGATGTTTCTAGAATTAGTACCTGGGATTGATTGGTACTCTGGAATAAAACTCAACATGCTTTGTGAACACAGGATTGTGGCTATGTGCATCATCCAGGGAAAACTTTTGAAAAAAATCTCACCAGAATGAAGTATTTGCAGATTGAGAATGGTTTATATCTCTACACTTGGATAGAATAGTATTTTTCTGCTTACCTAAATGCTTCCTCTCTTCATTGTGTCATCTTAAACACGCAGCCAAATTGTTTTTTATCAGATTCCATGTGGTATCTTGTTTTTCTTCCTGTATTTCTCTTACCCATGTTTTGTTTATCCTGTTTGATTTTTAATAACAAACTGTGTCAGAGACAGTAGGAATAGGCTACCATAGCTACATCATGTTAACTCTTTCAGGTTCACCAGATTCATGGAACACTAGTTGTAATTGTTTTGATTTCTAGGTTAACTCAGAAGTACAAGTGGTAAAAAGCCTTTAGTGAAAAATTTTCCTTCAAAGACGTTTCTCCTCATCTCAAAATTCTGAAGCCATGTATGTGATGTTTAGAAACAAAATTATCAAAATTCTGAAAATAAACATAAATGAAGGTTTTCTGTTGTGATGTCTTGTAGGTCCTGACAGCTTCCTGAGTGTTTGGCAATGGTGGTGCCATTGTTCTTATTTTGTAAAACTAATCTTAATGAAGATTTGTCTATAGAAAACTCAGATACAGAGAAACCTAAAGAGAAAAACAATTTACAGTTTATTCAGTCACACTATTTGGGGGAACATTTTCTATGCTAATATGCCTTTAAATCATTGGGGATTATGTCTGATACAGATTTTATGAAGTATAGAGTTACTTGGATTTTCTGAAATTAGACTAGTTGAGGCTGTACTTGAAGCTTTTCCTCTTTGAGAATTTCATTGCTCATGTGGGCTTGGTTTTCTGGAGGGTTCTAAATCTTAAATACTCTCACCCCCAACATCAGTCATTTAATTTTCTTCATTCTAAATTTGTTCATTTTTTAAAAACTCTAGTTACTTCCCTTAAGACTACCTTTGGCATTGCAATCCCCCTTTAAAGTAAGATTTGAAATAAATTCTTTAAGGGATGTTTAGTTGTTTACTTATATTTTTTGGTATAAAATGTTAGTTTGTGAAATGGTAGTTTAAATATAGGAAAAAGATAAAATGATTCAATAGTTCCTTGTGTTAATAAGGTTTATTATATTCAGAAACTGTATTTATTACTTGCTACTATGTATTAAAGTGCAGTTAAAACTTTAGTCCTAAACAAATAGAGGTATGCCATAAGTCAGTGGTTCTCAAATCTTCTGGTTTTTGGGCCCATTTATATGCTTAATTATGGAATCCCAGAGTTTTATGTATTTTATATCTATTAATATTTATTATATTGGAAAGTAAAGCAGAATTTTAAAGATTTAATTTATTTTAAAATAAGCTATTACTTGTAAATACAAATAACTTTTTTTTTTTTAATGAAAGCTATTTTTTAATTGAGTGAAAAGAGTGGTGCTGCTTTAGGTTTTTGCCAGTCACTGATGTTGGTTTAATAAAAGACAGCTGGATACTCACAACTCCTTCTGCCTTGGGGCTATGAGGGACCACGTGTCACTGTAGCTTCTGGGAGATCCAACCCCCCTTCTGCCCCCAACTCAGGAGAGAATGAGATGGGAAAATACAGCATCCTGCCAGCCTTATGAGAATAGTTTGACCTTGATGACCCCCTTAGAAGGATTTCAGAGACCCCCATCCACACTTTGAGAACCCAACCACTCCAGGAAGCAAACTACATAGGATCAACCACAGAATATACAAAATATATTTTTCTTGACTTTGCCCCAGTGGATGGCCAGTGCTGGGGAGTCATATTTGGTGGAGCCAAATATTCTAAACTGTGTAAATGTTTTTTGGGTGGTTAGTCAACTGATACTGACCAGTTCTAACGATGCAAACTAAATTCTTTAGCGATTAATTGCACTTGCTTTTCCGCTTCTTGGTATTTTATCTGCACAGATCTGCTTTAATCTTAATGTAGCTTATCTCAGGTCATCGCCTGATGATCAGGGGTAAATGCATTTTTGTCGATATACTAGAAGGGATCGTTCCTTTGGGGGGGATTTTTTTTTCTTTCGTTGATATACTCAGCTTAAATGGTATTCTTTGCTTCTTTCCCTGCCGACACCGCCTCTGAACCTCTGTTTCTTTGCTTCGCTAGTACGCTGGGGAGGAGGAGGAGGAAGGGAGCGGCAGCAGTGAAGGACTGGAGGCCCCCGCCGCTGCCGGGCAGTTCTCTGGGGCCCGGAGTCAGCCGCGCCGCCCCCAGTACCGCCCCCAGTACCGGCGGCGCTTCCCGCCTTACCACGTGGGACAGACCTTTGACCGCCGCTCCCGGGTCTTCCCCCATCCCAGCAGAATGCAGGTAAACCAGCACCTGGGACTTCTCTCCGGCAGTCCTCACCCCTCCGTCCTTCCTCTGCCTCCTCTTCCTCCTCCTCTTCCAATGCCAGCGGCCGGAAATCAAACCTTGCTTTTGGCTTCCCGATGCTGATGCTACTTAACCCAAGCAGACCTGTCTGCTTGCTGAGAACGTTCCTTCTAGTCTCATTTCTAAAAGCACGACCACATGAACCTTGAGCCTTGCCTATCTATACCCAGGGACCCTGGTGGACAAAGTACAGTCTCAAGTTTATGGAAAAAAATGAAAGACATAAAGTAGGGACAAGTGAGGGTGTCTAAGAGCTGGACTCAGAAGTCAGTCAGGCCTAGGTTTGGGTCTTATCTCTGCTACTTACTGTGAGCTTGTGAGATTAACTTGTCCATCCATTAAATGGGGATAGTTGCTTCCAACTTGGGGCTGTGATGATAAAATCCAAGATAAATACTGTAGTGTGTGACAACTCAGGATGGAGGGTGTCTATAAAAGTCCTTAATTTAGATGAGATAATGTTGATGATTAAGGAAACCTCATAGGAAAGTGGAGATGATTGTCCCTTTTTTTCTTTTTTTACTGCAAAATACTGATACAGCTATTGTGAACTTGACCTGTAGTTAATAAGCCTTTCACCAACTTTGCAGTTCCCAGGAAACTTGGAAATCTTGGGAGAGGACCTCATTTTTGGTACCACTAGCTTACACCTTCTTCCTCTTAGTCTCCTTGGTTTTTGTTTGTCCACTGAGTGTTTTTACTGAACATTGTGTTCAGTCTGTTCTTTGCTGCCCTTTTCCTAGCCTATCATGCATGACTGTGTTCTTCCTACATTGCTTCTTGTTTTTTTTTTTCCCCTTCTACTCTTTAACAGCTGTCCCTGACAAATGTGCTAAAAATAGCAAGTAGCCTTACTTATATGGAGACATTGGGTACATGAGGCATAGTAGGTTTCTTTAGGGCAGCATCCTGGGCCTCTAGGAAATGAGGACAGGAAGAGTCAGGGAGACTACGACACACATTTATTTTTAGGGAGTCAGTAGTGCCTTCCTAAAATAATCCTTTTTCATGTTTAGCATATACATATGTAGCGGTTTTTTTTGAGAATATGGTTTTTGAGAATATTGGTTCTTTCAACCAATATTTCAACCAATATTGGTTGAAAGAAAAGTATATTTCACCTTAGGAATAGGACGTTCAGAGCAAAGGGATTCTTGTGTGCTATGCAGAAAAGCAGGTTGAAAACTAATTTTGAAAATGTGTGCATATTCAGGTAACTGCATTTTAGTTGTCTTAACCTGGGTTGAAATTCTTATTTATTTAGTAGCTAAAATAAAGCCTCAGCCGCTTTTCCTGAGAACCCTTCTAATACATACTATGTTAATTGACAGAAGTCAGCTTAAGTCAACCAACAGCACCAAATGAAGGTTTCTAAAACTTTCCAGGTTGTCTGTGTTCAGTTCAGGTCGCTCAGTTGTGTCTGACTCTTTGCGACCCCATGAACCGCAGCACGCCAGGCCTCCTTGTCCATCACCAACTCCCGGAGTTCACCCAAACTCATGTCCATTGAGTCAGTGATGTAATGGCTTAAAAATATGGAGAGATCTCTGAAGTGGTAAAGATTGTGGAGATCAAACAGAAAAATCTTTGCCCACACTTGTACAAAACCATGAAATTTATTGGACACAACAGAAAGAAAATGATAATATGCCAGCCAGCAGTATTTCCCTTGTGTACCGAGGATGTCGTTATAGCGTGATATAGCCGTGTCCAAATGACTTCCCTTTTTCAAAGATAATAATTCTCGATATTTGGCAAATAAGTCACAGCAGTTACTGAGCTGATACCAACTGTTTGTCATCTGCGAGAAGAGAAGTATATGACAGAGGAAAAGGAGCAGCATTGTTGGGCCTCCACCAAGAGACAGATGTTTGAAATCAGTTCTTAGTTTTCCCTACAGCTTTATGGAATTGGCAGTGGCATCCATATTTTTGTTGTTGTTGTTACAAGTGAAGGGATTTGAGTAGTTTAAGAAATTAGCAACTTTTACCTAAGGTCACATGGATGGTAGACTTTGGTTTAAACTCGATCTGTCTAGTCTCCTGTTCTGTCATTCTAGTAAATGTTCATCCTTTATATGTGTTGCTTTCTCTGTGTGTGTGTGTGTGAATCGAAGTTCCTGAAGAAGAAGCAGCTTTGCTTGTTCAGAGAACTAAGGGAGGCTCATGTGGTTGGGATGTTATGGGTGAATAGAGGGGTAAGAGGTTAGATTAAGGTAGCATCAGGGCAGATTAGGCATGCCTACTGTAGACCATAATAAGAATTGTTGACCTACCCTCAATGTGATGAAAAACTAGTTAAGGGATCTAAACAGGGGAGGAAACATATCTGAGAAATCACCAGTTTAAGGAGGCTGGACCACAGGAGGCAGCAGCAGAATTAGGGAGACCAGCTCCCTCATTTGCCCTATGGAGGGGCAGCCAGGGCAGGAATTAAGAGTGCTAGCGGTGGAGGTGTGAGGAGTGGTCACATTTAGGAAGTGACAGCATCTGATGATGGAGTGAACATGTGGTGTTAGGAGAAAGCAAAGGAAGACCAGGTTTGGGCAGAGAGACAGAAAGCATTTGGAGATCTTCTGGACACATTAAATATCACCTCCAAGGGGAGAGAAGTGAACTTGGCAGAAAAATAAAAGAGGCAAGAGGCAGAGAGTGGCTTGAGTTAAGAGGATGCGATTTTAGATGAGGTGGGAGACAGAGTCTTTGAGGATGTTTCAAAAGTGACCTAAAAGAGGCAAGGGAACAAGGCGTTCACACACCGGAAAAGGCATGAAGGGTGAAGGGAATGGCCGGGACAATACAAAGGCTGAAAGGAGCCGGGAGGGTAGACGAGACTGTAGCTGCACGTGTGGAGACATCAAAACGTAGGTAAAGGCCTGGGCCAGGGAGAGAGGGACTGGTAAAAGGAGTATAGGTAGAGAACTGAGCCAAGGGCTGAGTTTCGGGACTCAGCAGCAGCGAAGGATTAGGGAGACAAGGAGTCTGGTAGAGGACAATGGGAAGGAGCAGATGGGGAGAGAATGTCCTGGAAGGAAGTGCTGAGTTAAGTGCTATTGAGGAAGGGAGGGAGGGAGACTGACTAGGTTAGTAGGTTTGGTAACTTGGAGGTTAGTGGTATGTGAGGACAAAAGTCTCTGAATTCAAGAAAGAGCAAAGAGGCGGTGTTATAGTCCCCTTTGAGGAGGTGTCTGTGCTGGCAGAGGGGGTCTTCCACCTCTCTATGTATGCATGTTGTAGAGGAGCTCAGAGAAATGGGGCCATGGCTGGTGGAGGATGTAGGGTCAGGGCAAGGTTTTTGTTTGATTTGATTATGTTTTTACATTGAATTCTCTCCTGGCCTCCCTTCCTTCACCAACAACCTAAAGTCATTTGGTGGGCAGATCAAATATGCCATACATATACAGACATCACACACACGTAACTTATGGTGTATATATGTGCGGTATGTATTTGTTTCTGTGTATTATTTCTGCCTACTGAAATGGCCTGAAATCAGTGACACTTTAATAGCACTGAGCGTGCCTGGCCCCCAATTTTTCATTTATGAATACCATTCTCCAATAAAAAATAGAAGCCCTTTTGGAGAACCAGCCAATTTCAGAGCCAGGCCAGAGAAAGTACAATATGAGCCTAGAACATCTTGTTGTGCCAGAAAACAAGGAAGTGCTCAAAGAATGCTGGCGTCACATCCAGAGGACCCAAGCCAGCTGGACAGGGCTCCCATTGGCCAGTAATGATAGTAACAGATTACAGCTCATTGAATAAAGTAGAAAACCAGGGGTTTTCTATATAAGATATAAACAAATATAAAAGTCTACAGATATAAACAAATATATTTAATTTGATGAAGCATGAAACATTTACAGGCTTTTGAAAGTACTTTTTTCACAAAATCCTCATACATTGCAAAGGGGAAAAGAGTGAACTTCCCCCAGGGTTCTTCTCAGAGTGAATACTGTCAATAACAGTAGGAATTAAGTAGGAATTGACACCATATGCTGGCCAAAAGGATGCGGTGAGAAGAATCCAAAGCACTGTTGTGGCTTCCTTCCAAGGATATGTAAGTTTAATTATGTGGAGACCCTAAACAACCCCAACTGAGGAGTATTTTACAAAATAACTGACTTGTAACATTTGAAAGTATCAAGATCATGAAAGCCAAGTAAAGACTGGAGAATTGTTCCAGTTAAAGAGACAACTAAATTAAGGTCATGGGTCTAAGTGAGTCTTTTTATTGTAAATGACATTATTGGGACTACTGATGAAATCAGATGGAGTCTGAGGTTTTGAGTCTATACTCTCAACCACCCTGTTACTTTGTGATAATTTAAAGAACACAGTTGGAAAAGATGGATGTTATTTCAGCATGTTTATATGCCTGGATGGAGCTGATGGAGGAGAGGAGGATTGAGAGTTCAAGTGTCCTCATAGGCCAGAGAGAAGGGTTGACTTTGTCTGTGGGCATGGACCACTTACTCAGTTGCGTGAGAGAAGAAAAAGCAAATGTAGGTATGGGGTGGTAGATTTGATGGTGAAAGAATAAAGAGATTCTTCTCTGACTGATTCTCTTTTCTTAGTGAAGTATGGAGAAGGAAGGGATATTACCTTTGAGTGGCAAAAAGCAGATTGAGGTGTGTCTGTACTATGAAGAAAATCAGAGATTTTGGATGGGTTGGTTTGTTTTTTATTTTTTTGTTCTTTCTTCCCCTGGAAGTTCTGTAATAAATTAATTCCCCCAGCTTCAAATAAATTTCTCAAGGAAGTATTTTTTTATTATTTATTTTTACACTTCAATAAATATGCAAACAGGTTAAAGGAAAAAATGGTAAAAAGAAGGAATCAGAGGTGAAGGTGTGGTTAAGAGACATGGGGTGACCTTTGAATGTAGAAACCATTATTGTATCAAAGGGGTACCCCGTTTGTAGAATGAGTGGGTTTGAGTTTGAAATTCTCAGATCCACTGAAGATTCTCATTGCTCTAATATAGTATATCATTCCATTTCCTTTGGCAATAAAGGTTTTCTTTCAGGAGACGAATGGAACATTTTAACATGTTTAATATTTTCATTTTCATGCATTGGAGAAGGAAATGGCAACCCACTTCAGTATTCTTGCCTGGAGAATCCCAGGGACGGCGGAGCCTGGTGGGCTGCCGTCTATGGGGTCGCATAGAGTTGGACACGACTGAAGCGACTTAGCAGCAGCAGCAGCAATATTGTAAAATAAATTTAGGTGCACGGGGATCAGGAAAAGACTGTCTAGTGGGACTGAGTCTGTCTTTCTTTCCTATCATTCACACACATTTAATCAGTATATGGTTCACTGATAGAAGTGAGTCCCCAGCTTTGTAATGAAGCCTTTCTTTTTTTCCTTTAAAATTTTTTCTGAATGCATCTGTGTGCTGTGTCTCTCATATCCTGCATTCTGACACTCACTTCAGCTCTCCTCGCCTCCCTCCAGGCCGGTGAGATTGGTGAGATGAAGGATGGGGTCCCAGAAGGAATGCAGCTTCAGGGACCAGTCCATCGGAATCCAACTTACCGTGCAAGGTACCGGAGGTAGGTGACGTTGCCTGCTGACTACTGACCAACTGAAGAACTAGCCAGTGACAGTAGGGTGGTTGGGGTTGTTGCAGGTCTGTTTGTTTTGGATTTATTATGTAATGAGAAGATGTGACTGCTTTGACCATATGTCCAAGGTTTGGTGGGGCTCTGCAATATATGTGTTTTTAGATGGCTATGTGACATTTCCCCTGTTCCGTAACAACTAAAATTTCTAGTTATCCCTTTACCAAAGCATTCTTTGTTTCTGATAACTTTCACATGATGTAAATTCACACTTAATTTTTATTTTATTATATTTAATGAGATGAGAGCAACAGAAATTAACTGAGAAGTTATTCAGTGGTAGCGCTACACATGGAGGAAGAATTGGCTGCCATCATGTATTTGTGATACAGTAAGTCCCCTACATGCCAATGAGTTCTGTCGAAGAGCATGCCTATAAGTCCAGCATGCTTCGTTCATAAGTCATAAAAAGTTAGCCTCGGTACCCACGTAACACAATCGGCTAGACAGTACTGTACTATAATAGGTTTATAATACTTTTCATGCGAATAACTTGTACGTAAAACACTATTTATTTACAGGGCGGCAATGGAGAAACAGACATAGAGAATAGTCTTTTGGGCATGGGAAGAGAGGAGGAGAGGGTGAGATGTATGGGAAGAGTAACATGAAACTTACATTACCGTATGTAAGATAGACAGCCAACGGCAATTTGCTGTGTGGCTCAAGAAACTCAAACAGGGGCTCTGTAGCAACCTAGAGGGGTGGGATGGGGAGGGAGATGGGAGGGAGGTTCAAAAGGGAGGGGGATATATGTATACCTATGGCTGATTCATGTTGAGGTTTGATAGAAAACAACAAAATTCTGGAAAGCAATTATCCTTCAATAAATTAAAAAAAACATTTTAACCTTATAGTACAGTACCTTGAAAGCACAGTAGCCCAGTCAGTACAACAGTTGGCACCCACGGGCTAGCAACAAGTGACCAGGCAAGAAGAGCTACTGACTGGAAAAGGGCGAGGAGGTGGAGAAGGTGGAGCTGAAGAACCGTCAGCAATGGGAGAGGGAGGGCAAGCACATTCGCATCTTTGAAAGTTTGCAACTCGCAGGGGACTTGCCCTACTGAAGGTTCTGATAGTGAAGTGGTCTAATGCAGGGGTTGAATCAACTAACTTCAGATCCAGTTGTCTGTGTTTAAATTCCCACCCTATGACTAGCAGCTCACCTGTAGCTGTATCTCCTTCTCATAAGTTTCAGGACTCCTCTTAGACGGAGTCACCAGGTTCATAAAATGGACAATAAGGAATATTCCACAGTTGTCAGTAAGGTTAGATGTACTCTCAGGCATTTAAGATCATCAGAATGTTGCCTGATATATAGTAAGCCCTCGATAAATTAATTATTACTACTACCAAGGATGTTAAGAGTAGTGAAAGGAGTGTGGTTTTATTTTTGCTTTATCCCTTGTGAAAATCGAATTGGCTAGACTCCCCAAGATTCATTGTGAGCTTTTTATATTGTAAGCCCTTTGCCCTGTCCTTGAAGAGCTTCATTCGCGAATGACATCCACACCCCCTTGAAGTTTGGCAAAATGGGATTATTGACAGGAGAGTAAGGATATTACTCGAGCTCTCCTGATTGGCAGCATTCTACACTCTTTTTTCTCACAAGATTCCTTGTAATTTTAGATGCTTTCATTCTAATGATTCACTACTAAAGACTTTGGAAATAAAAGAAGCTTCATAAAAATGTCTTAAGGAAAACAGGAAAAAGATCCTGCGGATCCCAATTTTGTCAATCTCTAGCTGTGTGTGACCTTGGGGAGGTTATATTCGACCTTTTTGACCTATAAAAGCAGCAATCCTATGTGGTTCAACCAAATACTCACCTTTAAGCCTCTTGGTTTTCTCACTCTAAATCTTAAACTCACAGAATGAGCCTTGACATTAAATGAGATAATTAAATGAAAGCACAGAGCACAGGCCTCGGCACACAGTGACTAATGTTCCTTTTCTTGCTGTGTCGAATCCCCTTGGTCTCCCAGTCTTCACGGCAGGCTGTCCACAGAGGGCAGATACCAGGCGCTTTTCTTAATTTTTACACCCACAGTGCCTGGTAGGACCAGAGCGTATGTTCTGGAGATGTTTGTTCACTGCAAATAGTGTTCCGGTGAAGGAGGAAAATGATTGAAAAATAGTTTTTTTTTTCTTTTTAATCTCATCCTTTTGTTCCATTTGCCACATTAGCCTTGCATAATAGGAGTAAGTCTCGATTCCTTGACTTTTTAAACCTTTAAAGACAAAACTTGCTGTTCTTGAAGGCCCTTTCCAATTGCACATGTTCTCTTTTCTCTACTCCAGGGGCCCTCCTCGCCCACGACCTGCCGCAGCTGTTGGAGAGGCTGAAGATAAGGAGAATCAACAAGCGGCCAATGGTCCAAACCAGCCACCTGCTCGCCGTGGATACCAGCGCCCCTATAACTATCGGCGTCGCCCCCGTCCCCCTAACGCTCCTTCACAGGATGGCAAAGAGGTGAGGCCAGCTAGTCAGAGGAGATGCTGCCAGACCACCCTGGACCATGTCAGCCTTTACTGTTCTCTTCTAAGAGTGGTTTCATAGTCTGAAAACTGAGGCCAATAATATGTGTCATATATGTATCTTTATGTATAATAACATTTTCATAAAGGTATGTATATACACAGGATGAGAGAGAGAAAGAATGCCTTGTCCATATCGCAAACCAAATATTTATATTCAACCAATTAACACTCTAGTCAGAACGGTTAGAGCTCTCCAAACAAAGGACGGCATTTTATAGAGAGGAACCTGCCTCTCAGCATGTTTTGAAAGTGACTGTATATTTTTTATGACTCTCAGCTGTGGAAAGTGATGGTGTTTAGTTGCCGTTTGGAAGCCATTCTTCAGTGGTTCTAATTTTTGACTCCAACTTTAAGAGTAGTTAAGAGTTTGCACAGTGATTTACCTCCGCGGGCAGGAAGATCTCTCCTTGTAAGACCTTTTAGCCTTGAACTCTCCACTGCCGTAGAAATCGGTTCATTTCTGGTTTGTGGTTTTACTGTGTGTTTCAGACCAAGGCAGGTGAAGCACCATCTGAGAACCCTGCTCCAGCTCCCGAGCAGAGCAGTGCAGAGTAACAGTCGGGCCCCAGGCACCTTCACCATCCGCAGGTAGGCGGCTCACCCGGAACTGATGTTCTCTTTAAATAGCACCGATTTCTTAGCGGTGGCACAGATCAGTCTAAACTAATCCTGCAGTTCATCTGGGCCAGCCTCTTATCTCCATCAGGATTCTGAGAAAGAGCTGTTTCTGTGGTGAAATATCTCTGAAGCTGATCTTATTTTGCTTGGTTTTGGAGACATAAATGTGTAGACAGAGTTTATGAGTGTCAAAGTCATTTTTCTATATAGACAGTTGACAGCTATTAATTAACACCACTTATTTTTTGAAAGTTTTACTTTTGTGACACCTAGTGGCCAGTTTGATAATTTTAAAGTGCCTGTGTGCTTTTTCTGTGGCTTCAGACTCTGGACGACCCTGTAGACTGTAGCCCATCCGGCTCCTCTGTCCATGCAATTTCCCAGGCAAGAAACTGGACTGGGTTGCCATTTTGTTCTCCAGGGGATTTTCCTAGCCCCGGGATCGAACCTGCATCTCCTGCTTGACAGGCGGATTCTTTACCACTGAGCCACCAGGGAAGCCCAATGCGCCTGACAAGGCTTCATTTTAATAATAGAGGACTGTGATCTGTGGAACAAACAGGAATTTGTTTTTCCTTCCCGTTTCCCTTTGATAGCCGGCATTATTTATGTGCAGTGCTTGAGAGCCCTGGGGTTTACACGCCCGGTGCAGGATCTACTCCTCATTTGCTTGAATGCTCTTGAGCAGTTAGATTATCCTCTGCCACAGTTCTGTCTGCTGCAGGTAAAACAGGGATATTGACTGGTCTGGGTATTGCAAAGACAGACGTAGTGATATTACACATATGAAGTACCGAAGCAGGGTGTGGCAAAGAATAATCTCTCCATGAAGTTAGCTTGTTTTTCTTCATTATTTCTTCCTGCTTTTTTTCTGTCTTCTTGCTAAAAATCTTGGAAATTGTATTTGTATAGGTAGAAATATACTGGAAAGACTGACTCAGCGAGTCTTAAAAGAATATATAAGCCATAGTTGGTTTCAGTCTGGGTTTTTCATCTAATAAGTCCTGAGAATTTGATTTTTTAGTTATTTCTTGGTTGTTGCCCTTTTCGTGAAATAAATAAGGAAGTAGCTTTTAGTTAAAAGGGTTTTAAGCTTATAGTAGTAGTGTTATTTTTTCAAAAAATTAATATTTCATAAAATTTTAAGATTTTAAGTTTCTACATTTTAAATGCCATCTGCTTTTATATGCAGAGGTTTGGATTTAAATTAGCCTTTCACATGGTAGACAAGTGCTATGCTGGAAATGTTTTGTCTCTAGGTAGCATGGGCAATTTATCATGGAAATAAATTCCATATTCAAAGTTTCTTGCAAAAATTGACAGGATTATATGTTAATCATTTGGCCATAACCTTTTACTTGGTAACATTATTTCTAGGTATTGTTCCTAAGGAAATAATCCAAAATACAGGGGGATAATTTCTATTATAATATAGTATTGGAGGAGTGGTTAAATATTGAGATATATCTGTATTAGGAGATACTGTATAACCACTGAAATGGTTATGAAGAATTATCAGTGTTATAGTATCATTTATTTGAAAAGACTTCATGATGATAATTTTCTTTTTTATAATTTTGCAGAATTTTTACCATTATGCACTGAGTGTTCTTATTTATAAAAATGTTTTATTAGAAAGTTTCCATTAAATTCATGTTTCAATTTACAAATCTCTAAAAGGTACACATGTAAGATTTTGTTTTGAGCTTTTGAAAATTATTTTTTGAGCTGCATAAAAAACAGGTAATTTGTGCCTTTTTATTCTTTAACCCTTGGTTATCTTGTCACTCTTAAATAAAAGTCTGATGTGAATATTTTCCAGGTGACTTAATTAATGACCATTCAAAAAATGAAGCGAAAAGCAGACCATGACCTTATGAACACCAAAGAAACGTCCAAGCAATAAAGTGGAAGATTAATAACCAAGATGTGGACATTAAAATGTTTACTACACTTCTTTACAAAACAGACAACTACACAAGGAAAGTGTCAGCCATTTTTTCCAGCATCTGAGATCCTAGGAATGCCTGCACATTACAAGAGAGCGACCTCCCCAGTTTCAGCAACCACTAGGTTTATATTTTTTTTTCCTGGTTTTTACTGTTTTGGTAATATGAATTGAAAGAAGAATTATTAATACCACATGGGGAGACCCCCCCCAACCAAAGAAATCTGAAATATATAGTAAATGCTTTTTTTTTCCTTTTCTGTTCATTTTGGATGCTGGTGCTAAACTTCGAAGTGTCATGATTTAAAAAAGAAATTTTATTCCCTTCTTATTTATTTCTAGGATAAGGGGAGGGTAACATTTTGCTTTCTTATGTAACTCTCTTTGAAAATGTGCAGTACGAAGTTCCGCAAAAATAAAATTTTTACCCTTGAAAGGAAGGATGTATAACTGGAGTATGTTTTTCTATCTGAGCACATGTTTTTGTTTTTTTTCCCTTTCTTCATTCACTGAATAGTAAGCTCAAAGCCAGTGTACATCTGAATTTGTGCTATTTAGTAAATGTAGCGGCCTGAGCTGAGAACAGAGGAAATGGGATTCTTCTTGGAATGAACAGGTTCACGTGTGAGCTCAGCACTAGGCATGTCTGGTGCTCTCAGCTCCTGAGTCATCCTTGTTGAGGTGGTTGATGACATTTCAGTCAACAACTTCCTTTAAATTATTGAAGGGGTTAGTAGTGCTAACATCTTTGAACTTCTAACTGTAATGGCTTTCCACACCAACTGCTGTGTCCTAGTTGTGTACCTGTGTCTTTCCGAAAAGAGGAAGGGGGCTGCTTTGCAGCCGCCTTACAAATTTCTTCCCCCAGGGAGTAGATGGCGCCCCCAAGTGGAGAAACACTACAGCACTACAGTACATGTCAATTCTATGTAGTCACTTCTCAGATCCGCTGTACCTATCAAATGATTTATTCCTTAAATCAAGTACCTCCCGAGTCTGGGTTTGAGCACTGTTCTAGAGGCACAAACCCACGAAAGACCCCCTGAGTTTGTGTGTGAGTGAAGTCTTCTGTTATTGGGTATTGAAAGTTCCTAAAAACTGCAGTGATAAGCACTTTATCATTCCAACACCCTTACCTCTACACACCGTCCGTCAGGGTTATAGCTATTCTAGAAGAAGAAAAAAAAAAAATAACAAGAAGTGCAAAGAATTGGAGACAAAAGTCTAAACTTCAGTAGTGTGTATAACTACAACCCTAAAACACACTGGTTGGAGGTACAGAAGACAATACAAACTGGATGTGATACAAGGATGGGCCTACATTCTTTTACAGTGCAAAATCAGGGAGTTGAATTTCTTTGCCAAGAGATACGTGGTGCCTGGGTGGAAGCACAGCTAGAATTTAATCAGAGGCTGTCATACCACAATTAACACACTAGCTATGATTGGTATTAACTTGAAGCTCCAGAGTTTTGCCTGTTTGAAACAGCACCTACTGGGAAAGTAGCCTACCGAACTCAAAATATTTGAGTGCCTACTCTGTGCCGAGTGATACCAGGTCTCTTCACATCACAAATGAACTGCATCCACATCATTGAGGTTCCTGGGCTTATTGCACAGATGCAGTTTTCAAAAGTACTTTTGCCCTTAGGGGAGTGAAGAGATGTATTTGTAAAGACTAATACTTAGAGATTTTGAAGTAATAACATTCTTTGAATCTTAGAATTTCACACATTAAATCCCAGAGAAGTACTTGATTGTGGTTGAAAAGAGGAAAACATCTCTTAACTTTATGTGTTAGTCGCTCAGTCTTGTCTGACTCTGTGACCCCATGGACTGTAGCCGACCAGGCTCTTCTGTCTACGGAATTCTCCAGGCAAGAATACTGGAGTGGGTTGCCGTTTCCTTCTCCAGGGGATCTTTCCGACCCAAGGATCGAACCCAGGTCTCCTGCACTTCAGACAGGTTCTTTACCATCTGAGCCACCAGCAAAGTCTCTGAATCTTAGAACTGACACTCTAAATCCCAGAGTAGTACTTGGTTGTGGTTGAAAAGAGGAAAACATCTCTTAACCTTACAAGAATGACTTTATATATATAAAATCATTTTATATAGGCATCATATATTTATGTAATAGGTAATATATATGTATATATAGGCATCAATGTCTTAATAGGAAATGTCTAAAAAGGAAGCGGGTGCTGATAGAAATCTCTGAAAACTGGGTAATCTTGCCAGAGGAAGTGGTAAAGACTTTTTCACCTTTGTGATTTCCTCAGGGTGAAAGCATTTCATTTTAGCTGATAAGCTAGATCCAGAATCATCCTGATTTTCGGGATGGGGGATAGGAAGCTCTAAGGGAGCTGAAACCCACGTGGTAACGTGAACTCTACCCCCGCTCCTGTAGTGTGGGCAGTATTCCTTTAAGGGTATGACGTGGAAACATGTAATGATGTGGAAGCCTGAGATGAAAAATGGCATTAACATGTCTGCATTCCTCAGGGTAGTTAATTCTAGCCGCTGTAACACACCATCTTACATTTCAGTGGCTTACTATAACACATTTTCTTCTTAAGGACGAGTTTGAGTGGGTAGCTCCCCTGGATAATTTTCCTCCCAGTGGCTTTTTTACCACCTGAACCACAAGGGAAGCCCTTCCCAGTGGCTTCTTAAAGGAATAACATCTTTTCCTGTGCTATGGGTCTGCTGTCCTTAATACCTAGTTTCAACTTGTTCTGTTATCAGCCAGCCAGTAGATGGAACAGTCTTCACTGTTTTGAAGAATTAGAAAGGAAGGTCAGTAAAAATAAGATACTAGTGAAGGGGCAGGGGCTCCACGCAATCAAGCACAAATTTTGGCAGAGGGTTGCTGCTAATCATGAGCAGCAAATGTCTCAATGATTTTAGTGCTTTTCTAGATAACAGAAGATGCAAGAAACTGGGCTCATAAAATCATCTGAAAATATCTTAACTATGTGAGTCCTGTTTG